CTCAGTCTTCCAAGTAGCTGGAACTACAGGCGCGTGCTACCACACCCGGTTAATTTTTTTTATTTATTGTAGAGATGATGTCTCACCAAGTTGCCCAGGCAGGTCTCGAACCCGCTGGTTCAGGCAATCCACTCACCTCAGCCTCCCAAAGCATGGGATTGCAGGCTGAGCCACCGAGCCCAGCTATGGCCTGTTTATTTATTATAGAGACGAGGTCTTGCCAAGTTGCCCAGACTGGTCTCGAACCCCTGGGCTCAAGTAATCCTCTCACTTCTGCTCCCAAAATCCTGGGTTTACAGGCCTGAGTCACCGCACCTAGCTAATTTTTTGATTTGTTGTAGAGATGAGGTCTCACCAAGTTGTACAGGTTGGTCTGGAACCTGTGAGCTCAGGCAATCCTCTCACCTCGTCTTCCCAAAATGCTGGAATTATAGGCTTGAGCCACTGCGCCCGGCCCAAGAGTACAGTAAATCTTAGAAAAACTCTTCTACAACCCAACCAATAACCAATAAGCTTTGGCAATGAGTAAAAAAACAAAATCATTAAATCCATTGTCTTATTTCTTTCAACAGTTGCATAAGCCAGCAATGATTTATAGCATTTGTACTTTAGTGATTTTTTTTTTTTTTTTGAGTTGAAGTCTCATTCCGTCACCCAGACTGGAGTGCAGTGGCACGCTCCTGACCACAGCAGCCTCAACCTGCTGGGCTCCGGTGATCCTTCCGCCTCAGCCTTCCAAGTAGCTGGACCTACAGGCGTGAGCTACTATGCCTGGCTAATTTTTGATTTATTGTAGAGACAAGGTCTTGCCAAGTTGCCCGGGCAGGTCTCAAACCCGTGGGCTCAGGCAATCCACTCGCCTCAGCCTCCCAAAGTACTGGGATTACAGACTGAGCCACCAAGCCTGGCCACTTTAGTGATTTTTAACAGCTATATCCATGACACGTGCATAGAGTCTATTTCGGAAAATTGACCACAAATATCTTCAATGTGTGTCATTGTGGATACACAGGAAACATCAGTTTTCTGTTTTAAAAATCCAATAAATACCTCAATCTGACTGGGCATGGTGGCTCACTCCTATAATTCCAGTACTTTGGGTGGCCAAAGTGGTAGGATTGCTTGAGGCCAGGAGTTCGAGACCAGCCTGGACAATACAGTGAGATCTTGTTTCTAAACGAATTAAAATAAAAAGTAATTAGCTGGATGTGGTGGCACATGCCTGGGCAACAGAGTGAGACTTCAACTAAAAAAACCCCAAAACAAAACAACAAAACAAAAACCAAAAAACTTAGTCACATTATCCACATGTTAAATGTTCCTAAGCCACCTGTAGCTGGTGGCTATCATATTGGATAGTGCATATATAGGAGTGTATTACCAATTATATGAGTAAAAACTAAAACTAAAACCAAACAATGTCTATCTGTATATGTTTGTAAAATGCATGGAATACTTCCAGAAGGAAAAAACAAGAAACTTGTAGTGGTTGCCTGTGAGGAGAGGAACTGTCCAGCTGAATAAAGGGGAAGAAGTGAAACTATATGTCCTTTGTACTTTTCATAGATTGTGGATAATTTGTCTAGTAAAGTATAAAAATGATGTTTAAAGCTCTGGCAATT